TTAGTCATCCCCCTCCAGCAGTCACCTCTGCCTTGCCTCTCCCCGCCCCTCCACATCCCATACTCCGCAGGCACCCAGGGCTGCTCCTGGGGCACCTCACTCTCATTTATGGTGAGTACCCTCTAGCCTCCCACACACATCCCAGCCACATACCAAGCACGGGTGGTGTTTCAAAGGGAGACAAGACAGGCAGAGGAAGGAAGTCACGGGGCTCCCACGTGGGGAGCGTGCACCCCTGCCCAGCCAGGGGCCTGACATAACTGGGCACAGAACAATGAGAAAACTCCTACTGAGTCTTCAAAACCCAGTGCAAATGTCCCCTGTTGCTGTACCAGGCAGTGTCCTGCCCTCACCCCAGGGCCTCCAGGCACGAGCACACAGGGCTGGGGGCGGAGCATTCTTCTTCTGTCTACCCCGTGGGGCCCAGGCTCAGTTCTCAGCACTGCCTGGTACCCAGGATTAGAGCTGTCTCAGAGCACAGCTGCTCCCCTGGGGATTAGCACCGAGCACTCTCTCTCCCTGACCAGTTTCAGCTAAGACACACACAGGAAGGAAAGTTCATCCTCAAGTCTATCCGCTTTCGCGCCAGCTGCTGCGGTAGCATCACAAGGCACTGCCACTCCCTGCCAGATCTGACAGATCCCTCAGCTACTTCCCCCTGCCCTGGAAGCCAGGGTATCACACAAATGTAGGCAAATTCCGGATGGGCTGTCAGCAAAAGGCGGTGGGGGGGGGGGGAGCCCCTGGAACCGAAGGAAACAGAAGAGGAAGACAGAAGCGCTCACTTCTCCCCCCACGGCCTCGCCCCCAGGAAACTCCCCTCCCAGAGACCCCCCACTCCTGGAGCTGTTACTTCCTCTTCTCCCAGCCACAGGGGGCCCCTCCGGCCCAGGAGGAGGTCACACTGTGTCCAGCTGGCCCTGCCCTCCATCCCCAGAGAGGGGCCCCAGTTCGTGGCTCCTGGGGTAAAGCCGTCTTCCGGGAGGGGGAGACAGGGACCCAGGAAACCCTGCAGGAGGGTCCCATCTCCTAAGACCCCAGGGTAGGCCCTGCACCATCAGCCCAGTCCTGGCCCCCCTCCCCCTCCAGCCCCCAGCAGCACAGAGGGACGGGAGCCAGTCACGTTACCTGCCCGCCCCAACCGCATTCAAATAGGGATTTGAATACATTTCTGCACTTTGGGGGCAGTCAAATCTTACCTCTCCCTGCAGCCCGACCCCCATATCCCTCCCTGCCGAAAGAATGCAGCTGAAATCCCAGCACCTGAGCCCTCTCCAAGACCCAGAGCCCCTGGGCTGCAGCCCACCCCACACCGCCCCCTGCACCCCACAGTGCCCCAGGCCCCGGGGCAGGAAGCCGAAGGGAAGGAAGATGTGGGGGGAAGGAAGGGGCCCAAGGGCCCAGGAGGAGACATGTAGGGGAAGGAGCTTGGTGGCGGCCCCTCCCCCACAGCCGGAATGTGGGGGTGTCGGGACGGGGAGGTGCCGAAGGAGTCAAAATCTCAGGTACCCACGACCCTGCCCCTAGATGGCCCCGTCTGAGGGGGGGCTCGAACCCCAGGAATATCAGCACAGCTCCCAGACAGCCCACCCACGACCCACGCACCCATCCGTGGAGCCTGTTATGTCTGGGGGGGCCACCCCCAAATCTCACAGTGTCACCTGGTTCCCCCCAACCCGGAAGCACATTCCCGCCCCTGTTTCGCCGCCCCGCAGCCCTCCCCCGGCGCCCCCGCCTGCCACCGCGGGCTCACCTGGGACATCTGGGGACGCAGGTTGACATCGCGGAGGTTGATGGCGTGGGGCAGGAGGTTGTTAAGCAGCTGACAGAGGAGGACGCCATCCCGCAGGGCCTGCGCCAGCTCGCACACCTGTGCCCCGTCCCAGGTCACGCGATGGCTGGGCGGCAGCACCCGGCACTGGATCAGCCAGTGCGTGCATTGGCGCCACAGCTCCATGGCCGCCGGCGGCTCCTCCGCCAGGCCCGGCGCGGCCTGCGCACCCTCGCTCGAGGCCTCCGCCGCCCACCCAACCCAGCGGCCTGAAGAGCGACGGCTCCACGGCTCACGCTACCACTTCCTCTTCTGGGCCTGTAACTGTCGGCCTGGGAGGGAGGGGGTGGAGGAGGAGGAGCTGTGGGGTGGAGGAGCACCTGCTACCCCTGCCCCACCCCGGGGGTGCAGGCCTGGGTCCTGGGGGGCCGGGGGAGCTAGGTTGGGAGGCACTTCCTCCACGTGCAGTTTAGGGGACACCTCAGGGATAGCCTCAGAACCCGCCCATCTGCCAGCCTCCCCCTGAAGTCCAGCCCCATCCTCGCTGGGCTGGACCAGTGAGGTCAGCCCTGCCCGGCCTCCTGACCTCATCTCCCGCCCTCCTCTCTGGTCTGTCCCTGCTGCAGCGGCCAGGGAGGGCCTGTGAGCACCTGAGCCCCCCCACCTGCCCCTCCACTGCCCACAGCCCTGCTTCAAGGTATAAGCCCAGCCCTGCGCACCTGCCCCGCTCTGTCCCCCTCACCCAGGCGACTCCTCACTGTTCCTCCCACACACACATCAGGCCCCCCACCGTGTGCCCCAGGGCCTTTGCACGTGCCAAGCCCACCCTATTAGGCCCTCACTTCCTACGGTTCTCTGTTCAACTGTCGCCTTCCCATGCCATCTCTCCAAACCTCCCCCCCTCACCACCCATCCACCTCCCTGGCGGCTTGAGCCCTGGGCACTGTCTCGACAGATCTGAACTTCTGTATACTCGTTTTCTTACTGTCCACCCGGGAGCTTGTGTCTCCTTTGCTGAAGACCCCTCCTCCACCCAGCACGGGCACACAGGGGCACTCTGCACACAGCTGGCCAATGATTAAATAAATGTTTATCCCAAATCCACGGTCAAGGGCCCCACGGTCCAGCTCCTTGGACTGCCAGTTTGCTAACAGGCGCCTGCTGCCCTCACTTCCTACATCTCCCCTGCTAGGCTGGGAGGGCCCCCTCCGCCGCCATCAGACTAGCCTGGGCCCTTGGAGTTTCTGCTCTGACGCTGGCGACCGCTAGGGGGCGCAAGATGCCCACCCTGCACCGGCTGCCCCAGCCTGGGTGCGGGGGAGGCTCCCGCACCGGCAGGGGGCGCAGCAGCGGGCCCCAGCCCGGGATTCCTCGGCTTTGCGGCCCTCCAGGCATCAACAGCTTTGCCGCCCTCAGTGTTCTGCCTGTGAAATGGGCAGCAACCCGCGTTCCGCCGCGCACAGAACTCCCGCGTGGGGTTCGGAGGCAGGGAGGGCGCTCCAGGGCCCCGGGTTCGAATCCCGGCTCGGGCTTCAGTGTGTGCGCCAACGTGATACCCCGACGCGACCTGGACAACGGGCGCTCTGCCGACGAGAGCTGCAGCCCCACACCGCGAAACCCGCAGCCCAAAAGCGAAACCCAGGCGGGCGGTCTGGAGGAAGCGCCCCTCCGTCACGACACAGCTGCGGCCACCTCTGGCTCCGTGGGCCGCCCCTCCCCCACCGGAACCACGAAGGGCGCGGAGGGAAACCTCGCCCACCCCACCCCGGCGCCGAGCGGCCACCCTGAGGTTCGCCCAGCTGGTGGGCGGGGCAGCGAGCCGGGGGCGGGGCCGCGGGAGAGAGGTGCCTGGCGTTCCCCGTTGGGGCGGGGACTATAGGGAAAGCTGTGACCGACAAGAGACGGGGTGGGGCCAGAGCCTGGGAGGCGGGGTTGGAGGCGTGGTCATCGGAGGGCGTGGGCGGGGCCTGGCGGGGCAGGCAGGGAGGGGCCGGGAGCCGCAGATCCTCGGTTTCTGCCTCGGGAGAGCCCCGCAGGTGTACCCCAGGTGAGCGCGGGGGTCCCCTGGAGGGATTATTGGGGTGCCAGGTGAGGCCAGCGTCCATCCGCGGACGAGGTCCCCGAGGGAGGGAGACGCCGGGCGGCGTCCCGCGTGGCCGCGACCCTGGGCGCCCCTGGGTGTGCACCTCTCTCCTCATCGCGGAAGACTCCGTGTGCTGGTCACTGTCCCTGCGCATGCATGCTCATGGCACGTCCAGCAGGAACAGGACTGTCCCCTCCCCCTTCCCAAGTAAATTTTATCCCGGAGGACTCAGAGGCAGGGGGATGACTTAGTTGGCCTCGGGCTGACCCGCATCCTCTCTCACTAAGGGGGTGGGGGGAAGCCCTTGAACTTGGCATTGGGAGACCGGAATTCTGAGGCCGCAGGGCCTGGCACAGCTGGCGAACAGGAAGTGCACAGGTATTCCGAAGACACACCTGGTCCCAGGTATGCAGCGCCGGGAGCCAGCTCCACGCCCATAAAGCCCGGGCTGCTCTGAGAACTTCCTGGCCCTTCCAGGCCCACAGCTGGCCGCCTCCGGAGACAGCAGGACTCCTCCTGCCGGTCCTCTGCAGAACCCCAGCCCTCCCCAGGCCCTGGGGGGAACCCTGGCAGGCAGGTGGGCCTGCCAGGTGGGAGGAGTGAGGGGCAGGCGCCCTTCTTCCTTTGCCTCCAGGGTCATTTTTTCTGCCATTCGCCAGAGTGGAGGGCTCCACTTTTCTCCCCTTTTGGGCACTGGCACAGGGATGGCTCTCAGGAGCTGGAGCCAGGGAGTTATGTCCCTCTGCCTACAAGGTGTCCTCACCCAGAGCCACCGGCTGTCTCCTGGACCCTTCCAGCTGTCAGCAGGGCAACCAACCCCCCTCCCCAGCCCGGGGCCACTTCCAGAATGTTCTCCTGCTCCCTGACGCCCCAGCTCCGTCCTGTCCTAGCCCTACATGAAATTGTATAAAATATAGTTATTTACAAACAAATCTATACTGCTCATCTGTATGTAAAAATACAGAGACTCTGGCTATGCGAAATGATTAGATACATATTTATGTAATATGTAACATCTTTACATTATGTATATATATCGTCACCTAGTTGCATTTTAAGGTTTGGTGGAGTGTAGCTGCTGTCACCCCAGATGTGGAAGAAGCTATCCCTGGCCCTCAGGAAGCAGGGCTAATTATTCCCATTTTACAGATGTGGCAGACTGAGGTCTGTTGAAAGTGCCGAGCTCCACCCTGGCACCCCCTACCGCCAATAGCTCCATGCAGGTGCCTCAGGATGGAGAGGACCTCGCCGGCCAACCCTGGTACCACGGCCCCCTGTCCCGCCAGGTACGGCCCCTGCATGGCCTCAGCATCGTCGGCGTGGGGGCGGGGGGTGCTTCCTACCTTGGACCTGTCTGGGACCCCTGTGTTGTAGATGAGGTGCTTGGGGCAGAGGGCTGTTGGGAGAGGGGACTGGGGACTGACCAGGAGTCACGTATATTGTGCTGTGATGGTGTTGAGAATGGTTGTGGAGATTATAGAGGATGCAGATGCTCTCAGAACCACCCCCCTCCCAGCCCTTCCCATCCCACCTGCAGGGCCCCTTCTCCTTCTCAATCCAAAGACCCCTCCCCCAACCCCCACCACGCATACCTCCCACTCAGGAGACCCGAGGCCCTGAACCTGCAATGAAGTCAGTTTGGACAGTACGGCAGGGTGGTTTAGACCCCACAGTCTGGGGCCAGCCCTCCTGGGCTCCAATCCCTGCCCTACAGCACACATTCCAGGCCTTCAGGCCTCAGTTTGTCACACCTGTGAAATGGGACTAACATCTACCCTCTCCCCTTGTTGCCAGCACTGAATGAGTTAATCCCCTTTGCATCGCGAGCAGTGTCTTGGGGGCAGGAGAGGCCGCACCTGTGTCCACTGAGGTTAGGGTCACTACCCAGCCCCCAGCCCCAGCTCCACACTGCCTCTCCCAGGGGTCCCGGCCCTCCCAGAGCTGCTGGCCTAAGGCTGCTTGAAGATTTTTATAAAGGAAAGGTTGACGGTACCCCAGTCTGATGGATGCCCAGGGCCCTTTTCTTATGCCGGAAGTTGCATTGGTCAACCACGGGCAGCGGCTGCAACAAGCCTTCCCAAGCCATCGCCAGTGAAATAATCAGCATCTATGGACTTGGCCATGTGCCCGTCAGAGATCCACAATCCAGCCGAGGCCCGAGTCTGTTCTGCATCTGTGTCATCCCACGAGGCTTTGGGGGTGTGCAGCTGACGGAGGAAAGAACCGGCAGGAATGTACCAGAAGGTTTTATGAGCCAGCTCTGGACACATTTCCCACAGCACTTCTGCTCCTCTCCCATTGGTCAGATCTTATCACATGACAACCTAACTGCAAGGGATTCTGGGAAATGTAGTCCAGCTGTGTAGTCTGATACAAAACTATGCCTGCAAGCCACAGAGGTTTCCCTGGGGTGGGGTGCATTGGGGAAGGAGGCCTCCTTACCTGCAGGTCCAGGCTCATGCCCTCTTCCATCCTCAGAAGGCTGAAGCTCTTCTCTTGCAAGATGGCGACTTCCTGGTCCGGGCCCCTGGGTCCCGCGGGGGCCCCCCTGTGATCTCGTGCCGCTGGCGGGGCCTCGCCCTGCACTTCCAGGTGTTCCGCGTGGCCCTGCGCCCCCGCCCGGGCCGGCCCGCAGCCCTCTTTCAGCTGGAGGACGAACAATTCCCCAGCATGCCCGCCCTGGTGCATAGCTACGTGGCCGGCCGGCGCCCACTGTCGCAGGCCACGGGGGCTGTGGCTTCCAGGCCTGTGGTGCGGCAGGGGCCTCTACGACGCAGCTTCAGCGAGGACGCCCTGATGGACAGCCCTGCTCAGGAGGAGCCGCTCAGGTACCCACCATCTCTGGGCCTCTTTGGCTGCACCCCACACTCTCCCCCTGGGTTTTCCTGTTGAGAATTGAAGCCCCATCATTCTTGGGGGTGGGAGGCTGACCTGTGCACTATAGATGTTGATGCCAGGAGACATGTGCCCCCCACACACTCGTTGCCATGGGTCCCCTGGGGGTAGATCCCCTGGTCTGGGAGAGCTCAGAACACCTGCCTAGATGCAGGATTTCCCAGGCACCGTGGCGTGGGGCCTGCCCTGCCTTGGCTGGGACTACTGGTCTGTCCCACCTCTGCCCCCCTCCCAGGGCCAGGAAGTGGAGCAGCAGTCAGCCTGCAGATCTGGAACACACAGGTCAAACAGGACAAGATGACCCTGGAGCAGGTGAGGGCCCACCTGGACAGCACACGGTCACTCACCCTCTCGAAGCCTCAATTTCCTGCTGTGGAAAGTTGGGACAAGAATGTCCTCAGAGTTGTCAGAGTGGTTTAAAAAAACACCCCAGAAAATGCATGGCTGCAATTATTCCCGGAAGCCCTACTTGCTCTGGCCACGGCTGACCTGTGTAGCAACTCCTGCCCCGTGCCCTCTTCACTCCTTCCCGTGGGTTCCTGCCCCAGGACCTTTGCACCTGAGGTTTCCACCACTGATGGAAACATTCCCATTCCCACAAGTGTTTTCTGATTGGCTCCTCCTCATCCAATGTGAGTTCTTCAAAGTGGGCGACCGTGGTGGTCCCACCTGGGAGGAAGACTCACTGGCAGGCCCGGTTTCCCTGGCCCCCCACCCACTCAACACGAGGCCTCACCTCATGGTGGGCACTGGACTAAGTCCTAGGACACAGCCATGAACATGACAGATGAAAAGCCCCGTCCGAGGGGTGCCACTGTCCCATTTCTTAGAAACCAATGTACCACGAACAGAAAAACAATTAGTGAATTGTCTGTGCTTTGAGGTAAAAATTTATGGGAGAACCAAGTCAGGGAGACTTGGGATCTTGTGGGGAAAGGTTTGAAGAAGACGAGGGAGAGGGAATGCAGATGAGGGAGGTGGAGAGTGACTCAGGCAGCGAGAGTGGCCCATGCAAAGGCCCTGGGGTTGGGTTGAGAGCCCACACTGCTACATTCAGGCAAAAGGAGGTGTATGGACCAGGAGCAGAAGTGAGAACAGCAGAGGGAGCCCTGGGGCTCAGTGGGGCACTTTTGTCTACAGTGAGGACTACTTGGGGAGCTTTTGCGTTCCTACAACAGCCCCGATTTAAATGCTTTAAACAGACCCCATTAAATGCATGTAGAGTGTCCCCAAAGCCTTGGTACAGGTGTAAGTTCTGATAAATCCGGAGCTAAATGCGCCACACCCAGAAACGATGTCATCTGTGGGTTTAGTACGCTCTGTTTCCTTCACACTTCTGCAACTTGAGTGCATAACGTGTAGATGGACAGATAAAGGCAGATGAGTGACAGGTGACGGAAAAAGATGATTAACGCTGCATGACAAAGACAGATGACAGGTCCACAGATTTAGGTAGAGGGTCGCTAAATGACAGATATCCATGTTAGGTAGCTAAAGATAGATGATAGAAAAAGACAGATGACAGAAATGATTGATAGATGATGGAGACGCACGATGGAGAGATACAGATGACAGATGAGAGTCGCATTGATTTTTGGTCTGTGCTTACCACCTTTGAGAGAGAGAGAGAGAAGAGAGAGATTGGCTTTCAATCTGTCCTTGCCACCGTCCATCTAAGGGACAAGAGGAAAGAATTTAGAGTTAAAATGTGGATTCAGAATTCACAAGCTACACAGGCACAGAGAAGGGAGCCTTCCTCTGTCAGCGCACGGCACGCATGCTGAAGCTGCTGGCGCTCCCACCTGTGCCAAGGTGGGCTGCGACATCTGCTCTTTGGTTGAATGAGCAGATCAATCAGGATGGGGACGGAGGGAGGCCAGAAACCTCCCCAGTGCCACCTCTCTTCTCTGTCTCCTCCCACTGCCCCCTACCCTGATGATACCCAGGAGCCACAGCGATGCCAGTGTGCACCCTGCCCAGGATGGGCAGTGACCCCACGCTGCTGAAGGGCCCGACTCCCTTGGGGACCGTTGCCGACAGTCTCAGGGCCTCTGACGGGCAGCTCCACGCCAAGGCACCGACCAAGCCCCTCCGGACCCCGTCCCTGGCCCTGCCTGAAGCCCCAGGGTGCACCCCAACCTACTGCGAGCTGGTGCCCCGAGTGCCCAGTACCCACAAATCGCCCCCCAGCCAAAGGTGCCCAGAGCCAGAGTCCCCATGGTGGGAGGCGGAGGAGGAGGAGGAAGAGGACGGATGTTTTATAAGACCACAAGCAGAGGTCTCTTTCTGCCCCCCTGCCCACGCCTCCTGCCTGCTGGGCCCCCAGAATCGGCCCCTGGAGCCCAAAGCCTTGCACACTCTACGTGGCCTGTTCCTGGAGCATCATTCTGGGAGTACTGCCCTCCACCTGCTCTTGGTGGACTGCCAGGTAGGTCGCCTGCCAGGTAGGTCGCTACCAGGCAAAGCACAGCCACACCTGACCAGCCGCATCCCCGCCCGCAGGCCACAGGCCTCCTGGGAGTTACCAAAGATCAGCGGAGCGCCATGGGGGTGGCCTCTGGCCTGGAGCTGCTCACACTTCCCCATGGGCATCGCCTGAGGCTGGAACTGCTGGAGAGGTGAGCCTCGGACCCCTGCTTCGGGGGCTGATCGCCTCCCCCAGGGTCTCCAGATATTCACAGCCTCCGAGGCAGGGGTGGGGGGTGAGCAATGCCCCTTCACGCCCGTCCTAGCCCCGCATCCTTGCGCTTCGCCCCTGCAGGCACGAGGTGCTGGCCCTAGCCGGGGCGCTGGCCGTGCTGGGCTGCGCGGGGCCGCTGGAGGAGCGCGCGGCCGCCCTGCGGGGCCTGGTGGAGCTGGCGCTGGCGCTGCGGCCGGGGGCGGCGGGAGACCTGCCCGGGCTGGCGGCGGTCATGGGCGCCCTGCTCATGCCCCAGGTGCGCGGGGAGCAGGGATGGGGAGGAAACCGGAGGGCGAGAGACTGGGAAAAGGGAGAGGACGCACGCTCGGCTCTCCGCCCCCAGGTGTCACGGTTGGAGCGCACGTGGCGCCAGCTCCGACGGAGCCACACGGACGCCGCGCTGGCCTTCGAGCAGGAGCTGAAGCCACTAATGCGGGCTCTGGATGAGGGCGCGGGTGAGCGAGGGTCCCAGTTTTGACGCGAATCGCATCTAGAGCTAGGCTCCACCCCCCCGCTCTAGGCTTCGTCCTTACCCAGTCCCTAAGCCCTGTGCCCGACCTAGGCCACGCCCCTGCCTTGGGCCCTTAGACCTGCCCTCTTCCATAGGCCACGCCTCCTCTCTTCCTATCTACATCCTGGGCTCCGCCCCTTCCCTGAGTCTCCGCCCATCCCCATGCACCGACTCTTGCTCCAGTCTCAGGCACCCGGTTCACCCTAGCCCCGCCTCCTTTGCTGGATCCGTCTTCACTGGGGTCGCACCGGGACCTTCCCTTAGCCCCGCCCTCTAAACCACGCCCCTTCCCTAGGTCCCGCCCCGGTCCCTCCCCGCGGCGCCCCCTTGCGTCCGCCTCAAATCCCGCCTCCGACTCGTTTCCCACCCTCGGCTCCCCCTCCGCAGGCCCCTGCGACCCCGGCGACGTGGCGCTGCCGCACGTGGCGCCCGCGGTGCGCGCGCTGGAAGGCGAGGAGCCCGCGGGGCCGCTGGAGGAGAGCTGCGAGCGGCTGCTCCGCACCTTGCACGGAGCGCGGCGGGCCGCACGGGACGCGCCCAGGTTCCGCCAGGCAGCGGCCCGGCGCCTGCGAGGTGAGCTCGCCCTGTGCGCGGGACCAGCCCTGCCGCGACGCCCCTGCGCCCCCAGTCCTGGGTGGCGGCCCCCGGCCGCAGCCACAGAGACTCCCCCCCGCCCCGCCTGCAGCGGGTCTTCGTCCCCAAGAGCGCCCAGCGCCCCCGGGCGCTTAGAGCCACCCTGCTTCCTCTCCCGGGGCAGCCTGGCCCCCAGGCCCCCTCCCCTGGGCCGTTCCTGCGGTCCCTGGCGACCTCTCCCCTAGGAGGCTTGCGGGGCTGCCCGGACCCGAAGCCCCACCCTCCTTGCCCGGCCCCAGATCCCGCCCTGGAATAGCCGCTCCTCCCCACCCCCAACCCCCCGCCGTGCCCCCTGGGCCACCGGAGCGCCGCGCCCTCGCTGCAAGGACCCAGGAGCCCCTTCGCGCTGTCCCCGCCCGGCTATCCCAGGTGCTGGGGCAGAGTTCCTCTCGGCCCCGGTCGGATCAAAGTCCCCAGAGCCTCGGCAGGTGCTGCAGCCCCGCCCCCAGCCCACCTGACCCTGTCTGCCAGGATTCCGGCCACACCCGGCGCTCAGGGAGGCCTTGACCACCGGCTTCGTGCGGCGGCTGCTATGGGGGAGCCGGGGCGCAGAGGCGCCGAGAGCCGAGCGCCTGGAGAAATTCCAGCGGGTCCTCACCGTCCTGTCGCAGCGCCTGGAACCGGACCGCTGAGGGCGCAGGCCCCTCCCTCGCACCGGGGACCCGCCTTCTGCCTCCCAGGTTGGCCGAGCCCACAAACCCTTGGGGCCCGGCCGCGTGCACTTGCGGATTCTCACCGGCACGAGGCCTCGCAGGTCTGGCTTCAGACACCAGCATTCAGATTCTACTCTGCCCTTTAAAAGCTGTGTGACTGGGGCGGGCGCTGTGGCCTAGCACGTAAAGCTGCCACCCGCAGTGCCAGCATCTCGTATGGGCACTGGTTTGAGTCCCAGCTGCTCCACTTCTGATCCAGCTCTCTGCTATGGCGTGGGAACGCAGTGGAGGATGGCCCAAGTGCTTAGGCACTTGCATCCGCATGGGAGACCCAGAGGAAGCTCCTGGCTCCTGGCTTCAGATCTGATCTGATCAGCCATTGCGGCCATTTGGGGAGTGAACCAACAGATGGAAGAACACTCTTTTTCTGCCTTTACCTCTCTCTAACTCTGCCTTTCAAATAAACTAAAAAAAAAAAAAAAAAAAAAAAGCTGTGTGACTTCTAGCAGATCAGCTAACCTCTCTGTGCCTCCAACACAGTGTGCTTTTCAGGGCTTGTAGGGGATTAAAGTCTCAAGGTTTCAAGGAGATCCTGATGAGTGGACATGCCTGGTACACAGTAGGCACTCCATAATTAGTACCAACTGTTAGCTGTGTGGGGTGTGGTGTTTCTCTCTCCATCCCAGCACCCAGGGATCAAGCCACAGCCCTGGAAAGGGTGGGGCCTGCCCAAGGTGGCCTCCGAGCTCACCTCCCCCTCTTCCTCCCCGCTGTGTGGCTTGCAGAAGAAGGGGGATTTTGAGGCCCCCAGCCCCAGGACCTATATCCCCTAAAATAAGGCGGATGCCCAGAATTTTATATAATATTTTTTATATAATATAAAACAACGGCCCACGCCGAGAGGCAGGAAGACTTGGAACATGAGTATGTACATCCGACGGTAGAAGGCACAGCGGGTCTGTCTGGGTGACAGGTGGCACTGGGGAGGTTGGGGTGTGGGGGGGCGCGGGTTACACAGGTCTCAGCTGAAGCCACAGGGGCAGAAAAATAAAGTGCATAGGTCCTGGGGCCCCCCTCTGTGGCCCAGAAGCAGCAGCTGCCACCCCCCACTTCTTCCCGCCTCTGGCAAGGTTCAGTTGAGTGTGACCCGGAGATAAGAAGTGGGCACGTAGCCCTCGCCCCCCTGTTTCCTTCTGACTCGCGTCCAGCCGTCTCCTTTGTCTTCTTCTATGAGGCTGAGGTCCTCCCCCTCGGCCATGGAGATGGTGCCCTCGCTGGACCCTATGGAGCAGGTGGGGGGGGGGGGTCAGGACGCGGCCAGGGATGCTCCCATCCCTAGCCCGCACAGGCCAGCCCCACCTTCGAAGTGGTAGATGGCTACGCAGTGGCCTATGGGGGACGCGGGCTCCTCTTCAAAATCCTCATCGAACTCCGTGTAGATGGGGCCGTCCTGAGCCTCTTCCGAGGGCGCCTCTGGCACACTGCTTGGGGAGGGGTGCGGCAGGTCAAGGGGAGCCCGCCCTCCCCGGGGCCACTCCCATCCCCCACCCCCACCCCGCCACCGCCGCTTCACTCACCTCCCCTTGTTTTCCTGGGATCCGCTCTTGTTACTGTCGCTGTCCGCCGGTGGGGCACTGCTGGGGGGATCCGGGGGCCGCGTGTGCCGGCCCAGGCTGTCCCCTCGGTTGCTTATAACTCTGCTTTCAGCTTCCGCCAGCCAGGCCTGGAAGGAGGGGGTCCCAGCATCCGTCAGGCCCAGGGCAGGGCTCCGGGGTCAGCCCTGAGCTCACCCTTGCACACCCAAGCCGGTGATGAGAAACAGCTGGGGCCTACCCCCCTCCCCGGTCCCCCAGGCGGTGACTCAGCTGGGCCTCTCCCCAGATCTCGGCTTACCTCATACTTCTGCACTTCCAGCTTCAGTCTTTCAATATTGCTCAGGGTTTCTGCGATCTGGGGCTCCAAGCTGGCGGGATCCCCCATCTGGGGGGTCTTCTCGTACACGTCCTTCATCTTCTTTAGGGCTTCCCTAGGACAAGATGGACAGATGAGAGAGCGGGGTCCCCGGTGACTGCACAGGCAAAGCACGGATGCTGTTCTGTACAATACGCTGTGTTCCGTACAATTATTCCGCGAGAAAAAGAAAGAATCGGGGGCCGGCGCTGTGGCACAGTGGGTGAAGCCGCCACCCGTAATGCCAGCATCCCATATGAGCATGGGTTCGAGCCCTAGCTGCTCTGCTTCTGGTCCACCTCTGGAATAATGCACCTGGGAAGGCAGTGGAGAAGTTCCTGCCGCCCTCATGGGAGACCTGGATGGAGCTCCTGGTTCCTGGCTTCAGCCTGGACCAGCCCTGGTCTTTGTGGCTATTTAGGGAGTAAATCTCAGATTAGAAGAGCTCTCTATCACTCGGCCTTTCAAATTGATAAAATCTTTTCTGCAAACTTAAAGGGCAAAAATTCAGGGTTTTGTTGTTGTCAAGCTAGGACAGATTCAAGAACTCAAATGTTAAGGTTCGTCTGCCCAGGTTCCGGGAGCAGTGATCTCGGGCTATGTTATCAAACCCTGGCCTCAGTGTGCTCATCCTGAAAATGGAGATAGGGAATATGTCCAAAAAGTTCGAGAAAAGAGGAACGAAAAGACAAGCTTGGGCGGTCAAGACACCCACATCCCACATCAGAGGGCCTGGGGTTTGACACCTGCTTCCAGCTCCTGACTCCAGCTCCCTGCTAGTGCAGACCCTGGGAGGCAGCAGCCATGGCTCAAGTGCCTGGGCCCTGCACCCACGTGGGAGACCCTAATGGAGCTCCCAGCTCCTGGCTTCCACCTGGCCTAGCCCTGGCTGTTGCAGCCACTTGGGGAGTGAGCCAGAGAACAGAGGCTTGCCCGCTCTCTGTCTGTCTGCCTTTCAAATAAATAAATCTTTAAAAAGAAAAAAAAAGCTTCGTGGAAGATGGAATTAAAAGATACATCAACTTTGGTGCAACACATGTTTAGCCGTCTCCAAAATGCTTACGGAAAGTGTGTATTTTGAAAAAACTGGATTTAAAAAAAAAATGATCACGCACCAAAAACAAACGTGGCTGTCAATCCCATTTTTCCACCAGTTTTTGAAGTGCGTACAGGAACAGGCAGCTCCGGGCTCAGCGGCCTCCCTGATCCGACCATGGTACAGAAGAAACTGAGGCATCCGAGGTGGGTGGGTGGCAGCCGATGGGGACAGAGCTGGAACTTAAGAGCCGCCCGGCCACAGCCTCTTCGGCCTCTCCACGCCGAACACCAGGAGCCCCAGGGCTCCAGCGAAACCCGACAGCAGCACGAATTGTTTTGTCCAAGAGGTCATAAGCAAACGGCAAAAATATAATTTGGCTGCCTGCTTCCTGTTACATAACAAGACTGGGAAGAGAGTCTTCTTGCTTGGAAACAGTGAGTAAAGTTTTTCTTCTTTTCCACACTGGCCGAGGTTTTTATTGTTAATATTTTAAGTGTCTGAGCCATCTGATGGATACCCATTTGCTTCATTTTTTTTTCTTTTAGCCAATGAACGTGGTGATTAGATGGATCGATTTTTGCGGTATTGAACCATCTTTGCATTGTTGGAACAACAGGACTGAGGGTATGCATGCGTGTTTTCTCCGCTTAAAAAAAAAAAACGTTGATTTTTTTTTTTTAATGATGGCTACATGGTTATCCCATGACATTTGTTGTGGCCATTTTTAAGCATTCACATGGCTATGCATCGTGGGAAACTTTTCTAATGTGCCAGGAGATTCGCCCAGCTAGGATTTGGGGTCTAAGACCCACTAAGTCCCCACTGCTCGGCTTCCAGCCCAGCTCCCTGCTAATGCACCTAGGAAGGCAGCAGAGGACGGCCCAGGTCCCTGAGCCCCTGCAGGCACGTGGGAGACCCGGATGGAGCTCCTGGCTTCAGCCTGGTCCAGCCCCGATCATAGCAGCCATTCGGGGAGTGACCCAACAGATGGGAGATTCTCTCTCTCTCTCTCCTCTCCCTCTCTCTGTAACTCTGCCTTTCAAATAAATGCATACAGAACGGGAAGGAACTCTGGTCCCAGTGCGGGGGAGGTGTCTGAAGACCCCCTAAGCAGCGCCATTGGCTGCTGGGCTTTGCTCCCAGCCGGCCTCCCACCCTACCTCTGGTCCACCTCCTTCTGTAGCTCACGGCTGCGTTCTTCTAGCTGCTGTTGGAGCCGCTTTCTCTGCTGCTCTGGGGGCAGGTGGCTGAAATCCTCAGTCACCACGGTCTGCGGAGGGTGGGGGAGGGGGGAGAGGACGATGGCTGGGACCCTGGACTCTCAGCGTCCAGGCCGCTCTGCACACTCTTCAGAGTCCACTCCCCCCGCCCCGGCTGAGGTTCTGCGGGGGGCGGGGCACGGCCATGCACGGAGCCAAGCAGGAAAGGGGGGCCCAGCCGGCCGCAGGAAGCGAGCCCAGGGTCCCCCCACCCGGCCGCCGGGCAGGCTGGGACGGCCTCCCCCACGAGGCCTCACTTACCGCACGGCCACCTCGGAGGCTGCGGAGGGACGCTAGCCGCGGTTTGACCGACTTACTGATCTCGCTCAATAGGGCCAGGGGGTCGAGGCCGGAGCGGGGGGATGGGGGCCCGTTAGGCAATGCCGGGGGCAGGGAACCCCCCAGTGGGGAGAGGGGAGGGGAACGCAGCTACCGGCGGGGGCCGGGGGGAGAGGTGGGTCCCGGGACATGGGAGGAGGTAGAAGAGGATGGAAAGAGGCCAGAAAGAAAAAATGGAGAAAGATAAAAAAAAAAAGAAGAAAAAACACGGTAAGGAAAACACAACTTAAGATGTATGATCACACACAGAAAATGCGTGCAAGAGTGAACACAGAAATGCCAGGGGTGGTGGGGAGGGTGTGAGGCTGTGAGCCCAAAGGCCAGACCCTGCCCCCCCCCTCTCCTGGAAGGAGGCCCCCTGGGGCTGCAGCTGGTCTCCACCAGGCTTTCTGGGCTCACAGTCTAGAGGGCGGGAGCAACATGCAGGCGGCCAATGAGGTCTCAGACACAGAAGCCAGAGGGCGGGCGAGCTGAGAGAGGGCTCCAAGGTGGAAGCATCATGGGGGGTGGAGGGGGGCGGGCAGCCAGAGGCCCGCAGGTGTCCGTGGAGTGGGGGTGGTCTCCAAGGAGAAATCAAAAGCAGTATCGGATGAAGGGACCCCAGGTCGGCCGAGAGGGAGCATTGTCAAAGGCACGGACTAGGAGTGTCCAGGTGTATGCCCAACACCGAAAGCCAAAACACCCAAGGGGGAAAAAGAGCATCGGACGTGGTGGCCCAGGGAGCCACCAGGACATTGGAGGAAACCCCGGGGGGCTTCTAGGAGGTGGTGTCTCAAGCCCTCGGGCCAGCCCTGAACTCCACAAGCAGGTCTTCTCCTCCCATTCTGAGAACAGCAGGCAGACGCCACAGGCTGCCCCTGCTACACACACACACACACACACACACACACACACTGGT